GCCCAACCTCTTGTGGCTGTTAGCAAGTGCGCATGCCTACGCCGATCCGGTCTTGGTAATCATCGCCCTGTAGCTGGCTCACACAGGACCTTACTGCAACGGCCGCCAGGCTCACACACTTCGGACATGGCTCCCTCGCGAGTGGTTGTGCCCTCGTCTGACAGTCAACATCCTCTAACCTTTTCTCCACTACCTCTGTACAGAACATTCTCTTCCTATAAACTGGAACACGCGCATCCCCAGAAATTTAAATTTGAAGATGTTCTTTGGGATAAAAAGAACTTTATTGAGTGAATTTTCGATTTTTTTCGCCCCAATTCGTTTTCGGACTAACAGGAAAAGTGCAATGAGCAAAAAAACTGCCGAAAAAATCAATAGTTAGATAGGGTGAGACGTGATTGGTAGGTGTGGCGCCAGTTAGTCTCCGTCCTGCGGCGTCTATCTTTTCCATTGTTCTTTGACGTGCTTATAAATACCATCCAACGTGCCGGTTGATGCATGAAAATTCACTCATTAAAGTTATTTTTATTCCAGAGAACATCTTCAAAAATTCTATTCCCTCCACGTGGCGGCTCACTTCTTTTCCCACAAGAAATTAGGCTTGAAGATCGCAAAATCAAGGTTTTTACCTATTAACTTAAACCATTGCGATACACAAGTCCATTCTGTATTGCACACATGCGTTCGGCTAATTAACCGAGCAGAATGGAAAATATGCCGTCATCACCGAACATGGTTAGATAAAATCAATAGACTTTAGGAGTATACCAGTCTATCTGATTCTTCACCACTTCCTGACATAAAGTTATCCTTTTTTCCTGTTATTTTACCTTCATAGTACTGCATTTTTCACGGTAAGACGAAGAGTAGCACTAGCTCAAACTCTATTAAAGTAGTCTTTGTGGCAAATTTGAATGATTCACTCGACAACATTGCAGAAAATTAGACAGCCTCGGTGGGATTCGAACACACTACAACAAAAGCAAGGCTTTTTTCAACCAAACCTCTAACCAGCTAAGCCACGAGGACACAACAGAA